GCAGTGTTTTGTCCGTTAAGGTGGTGGTGGAACGTGTCAATTTCATGGTGTTGTACGTTGGTGAATGTGTCGTCAATATAGCGTGACCGAAGGGGTATCGTTTGTGGGCAGGTCGAAAGGGCCCTTCAACTTACCTACAAACGATACGGCTTTGGTTACACCATGTTGATGACACATTCACTCCCTTAAGACACGACAAAATCGATGCATTCCACCACCACCTTAACGAATGAAACACTGACATACAGTTTACCAGAGAAATTGAAGAAAATGGTAAACTTCCTTTTCTAGACTGTCTGGTAAGCTGTGACGACAACTCACTACAGACGACGGTTTACAGGAAACTGACGCACACCGACATATTACTAGACGAGTCATCCTACAACCCTGCATCACACAAAGCCACAACTATCAGAACTCCAACACAATGCGTGCAACTAGCATGCAACATGACAACTTATCCAACGAGTACAAATAGCTTTACCGTGTTTTTTCAAAGAACAGCTACAATGATGACTTGATCTGATGAAACATTCACTGACCTACTACTACTACTACCACTGAAACAAATGACACCCCAACTCCTACGACTACAGCAACCATACCGTACATAAAAGGCATGTCTGAGAACATCTCATGCATCTTATAACCCTTCAATATCGGTGTCACCCACAAACCCATCACCACACTACATCAGTTACTAACCAATGTTAAAGACCAGGACAAACTGAGGAACAGACAGGGAGCGATTTATAAGATCAATTGCTTCGACTGCGAAGCCTCCTACATCGGAGAGACTAGCGGAAACCTCGCAACAAGCCTATGTAAACACAGACGGACTACGAGGAAAGGTGATGTCAACAATCACATTGCCGAACATCATCTACTTATGAACCACAATTTTGACTGGGACTCTTACAATGCCTAACCTACAGCGCTAACTACTTTCAACGACGGACTCTGGAAAGCTGGTTTACTGACTTAAAACTGACCCCCCTAAACAGGTGTCAACTACTAGTGGTTCCATGCAAACAACTCATTCACGACATTAACATTACAAACAAACCGAACAGAACAACTTAACTTTACCAACGGTTTGAAACAGACCAATCATAACCAACTTACACCACTTGAGTCCTACAGCTAATAACATCACGTCAAAACTGACCAATCATTTTACACGAACTGGGCTAAGAACATTCTACTGACAACAACTATTCACTTGACTCTGATGATGACTTCCGCACAGGTTGTCGAAATGTCAGTCACCACCACCGACAACAGTTCTTCTCAGAAGTACACTTACCCAGACGATCACACTACACTTTCACATGTTACCCCCGGGTTCAAACCATTTACTGCATATTATTTCTAATGGTATCTTAACAAATAGACAATGGGGTTTTAGGAAGGATACTCTACTAAAAGCCTTTTCCTCCATCTTACTGAGTCCTGGAGGAGAGCTTTGGACACAGGTCACAAGGTTGGAGTCTTATTCATTGATTTTTGCAAAGCTTTTGATTGTGTGGACCACATAATTCTNTACAATTGACGACAAACTATCTTGGTCTGAACATATCAAATTAACTCGTTCTTCCTTCACACAAAAGTTAAATGCTGAGATGTATAATTTTTCTACCCAAATCTATTTTAGAAACTATTTATTTTAAGAGAGTAATCCCAATTGTCTTTCATGGAATTGTGATGTGGGAGTCTGGCACTAAGCTTAGAGAACTAGAAATAATAATAATAGTAATAATAAAAGTAATAATAATAATAATAACTTTATTTCAGTGTCAAACTTCTAGCTAGCCTGTAATAGGCTTGCTAATCGGGGACACCATCCTACCTAAATTTAATAATCTTTAGAATTTACAAACTTCTAGGTAGTCTGTAATAGGCTTACTAATCGGGGACACCATCCTACCTAAAAACTACAATAATCTTTGGAATTTACAATGATAAAATCTTTAGGCCAAAAGTAATTATATACAATAATATACAATGATAAAGAAGATATGTAGAATTCATAATATAAACTCCTTGAGGTACAGTCAAACTAAGACTTATTTAATAAGATCTTTAATGTTCATTCGGCTCTGAAATCTATATTAGGAAGTGCATGTGGGACAGTGTGATACATGTGATACATATTAGAGCTGCTACACTGATACATAAGTTACCAAAATATATGAAGGATGATGATATATTAGCAAGAGTTGGGTGGATGCCTGTTAGGTATTTCTATAAGTTTCGTATCCTAACTATACTCACATGGCATTTTATGGCCTGGGCTTAAATGAAGTAAATTCTTTTGTCCTTAAGTGCTCTAATAGTTATAATCTTAGAAAATTGCTAAATATTTTAATTGATAGACCTAATACTGAACTTGGCCTTTGTTCTTTTGGACACAGGGCAGCAATTGCCTGGAATTCCTCACCAGATAATTTTAGACACTTTTCTAATCCAATTGCTTTTAAAAATAGGCTTAAAAAGGTAAAAAATTATGTTGAAAATATAAATTTTGGAAAGGGGCATGGCTCTGTTGTTTATAATAAGAATTTAAATTTCTAATATTTGTGATATATTATGACACATTTATATCTATATTCATTCTGTTTCTGATTTAACACTTTACTTTAGGTTTATTTATCTTAAAAGATAAATAAACCTTAACCAAGAAGGAATATTGAACACAGTTTAATTTTGCGAGTTTGGTTTGTATCTTATGTCCATTGTTGGATCTCATCTCAGAGCTCAAGGTAATCACTGAAATGTATTTAAATTGAATAATTATGATCTTATAGCACTCCACCAGGGATAAAAATTCCCTCGTTTGTTATAAAGAGTTCCATGGTTGATTTTATCAAAAAAGATTATTATGTAAAAACCTGTTGAGGGAATTCTTCGTTTTGAGCCACGTGACCAAATTTTGTAACGTAAGTCGCGACCGTCATGCTGGTGGACATCTGTTAAAGTAAATATGGCTTCGGCAGACGCGCCTTCCAGCGAAAGTGTTCCTTTTTCGGAGAATTATGGCAGTCTTACCGGTTCTGCTAAGGCCAGGTATCGAGTAAAAGTTCTTATCTGTGGATTTGATCCATACATGTTAAAAAAAATCAGAGTATAGTGAGGATTTAGTGGATTATCCTAGCATGGAATATCCCGACATTGTGAATTATCTGGTACTCCAGACCTCGTGGATAACCAGGCTGCAAGTGAAAGCGTATAAGTCATGTGTGGAACTTAGAACAGAGCCTGATGGAGAATGGATTTTCCCATCATGTGCACCATGAAATTGATGTGCAAAATTTGGAATTGTTGGTGTAAAGAAATGTTGTTATTGTTGATGATGTCCAAAGTTATTCAGTTCTTGCATTTATTTGTTATGATACCTTTTGATTACAACAGGAACATTTTTTAAGCTTTAAACTATGATGAAAACAATGCATTGCAATAATAATAATAATAACAAAGTCACTTTATGTCATATGCTCAAAATTTACTACTGTGTTTTTT